CTCGAATATCTACCTGGATAAGACCGGCTCAGCTGCGGAAACCGAGTTTTCTCAGCATTCGTCAAACATCCCATCGCCCGGTAAAACACGATTAAGTAAGGCGATAGATGGTTGAGCGTTCCTCCCCTCTCTTCTTGCGCATGTTGGCGCGTCACCTTCCACAGGAGCCGTGCCCAATGCACCGGAGCTCCTGACAACACTAGCTCCACGAACTCTACCTGCCAACCATGCATGTAAGCGGTCTTGGTCGGCTGCAATATCTGCAGCAATGCTGTCGCGACATTTCTCCGCAATCGATCCTTGTAATCCCGAGTCCGGAAACCGTTCTTGGGATGTCTAGCCACCTTGAAGAGCTCATTGTAAGAGACTTCTTCCTCCTGGGACACTTTCACGCTGTCGGCCTCGAAGAGGAGATCCCCTTCCTCGCCGGCACACCTGCCCAACACCTGCGCCCAATTGCAAATTTCCCATCTCTCTGGGTGTGGGCGAAATCCGCGAGAAGGCTTGTGTCTCTCTTGCAGATACTCGCGCACCATCTCCGGACACGTCCAATTCCACCCCCAGAGGAGAAAATCGAGCTTCAGCCTCGTCAGCACATCTTGAAATGCGCGTAGACCGATCTGCGGCACCCTGAGTGGAGACACTCGCAGTTGGGGAACCTTCGACATTGCGTTGCCTGCACACACAAACGTTCTCCCTTTCGCTCACTCTCTCACAATCGCCACTGCGCGTCGGCCACTCAAGCACTGACTGCTCACTCTCTCTGCGCTCGTTCAAGATCGCTACTCCCAATTCTTTCAAGGTCCGTCAAGATCCTTGTGCAACTCGTCTCCGCACTCTCTACTCTCACTGCAGGTCGTTCCGCCCTTGCGCGTAATCTTGGAACTGGAAATCGCAAAGTCAAGAATGAGAGAATGAGACTGGAGCGCAGTCTTTTCTTCTCCGATTTCAAGAACGTCCAACGTTCTTACTGGTTGCAACGTACGCAGCCGGCTATACGGCTTAACGGTTCGCCCTTTGCATGCGCGAATTCACGTCTCCGCATTGCGCGCATTCGCATGCTTAAACGTTGAATTCTCCCGCCGCCGCCACCTTCCGGACTCGAGTCCGCTGCAGGGTATACGTCGGCCCTGTTGTCTTTTCCTAACCCGCCCTTCTCCGGAGGCGTGTCGCCGCTGGTGCGTTCATTATCCGTCGGCGCCTTGCTGGAGGCGCACATCCAGCCGGAGCGAATTACGCCGGCGCGCAGTCGTACCGCCTATTTTGTCCTTTATGCCTCGTCCGTTGCTGCCAGCGCATATCCGTCAGCGCAACTCATGCCAGCGCATCCGGCCGTCAGCGCCACGTCGGAGGCGTACATCCGACCGGCGCTTTCCTTCCATGAACAGCCGCCAAGGGCGCTTCCGACTCTGAGTTGGTTTCCTCCTGTGAGCGCGTGATTCCGCCGAAGGCGCATCGCCGAGGGCGTACGGGAATCCTTTCCGGCTGTGAACCCTAGCGCGAACGGCGCATGTCCGGCTACGAGTTTGCCGACGCTCATAACTTCTCCATTCCTGATCCATCTCCGGCGCTCTTGGACTCGTTAGAACGAGCGTCCCGAGCTCTTTCTAATGCAACTTCAACCAACTGGATCTACCGTGTATCCCGATTGTTATGAAGGTTTTCCCTTTCCGCGCTAGCGGCGCTTCGCCGAAGGCGCACTCATGGTCGGATGCCTTTAGAGGTCCGGGCCCTTCTCCTGACGTCTTTAGCAAAACCTCCTCCTGAGGTGTCTGCGCCGGAAGCGTAGCTTCCTTATACGCTAGAGGCGCGTGAGTAGAGACACCTCAAAAAGGAGCCTTTGCCGAAGGCGCCGAAGACGTTGGCGTTGGTACATCCGACTACGTGATTCTTTGTGCCCTCGTGACGATCTCATCAATCCACTCTATTTAGCGTACCCTTCTCTAGCTACAAACACTGCTTTGGTACTAGTTTTCTAAAATTGTTTAAATTCTGCAAAAAAAACAAAAAGTGTGTTACCACAGTTCACTCGGAGCTCACTCGGAGGTCGCACAGTGCAGCGTACAACACACACACACACACACCTGAAACTACAGAAACACAACCCAGAGATCGGTTGGGACCTCTACTCAAGATTTCAGGGGGAAAGTCTCTCGCGAGTACACTCAGCAAAGCTGCGGGTAGTGACTCCCAACTCCGGCTTTTACAACCCTTCTACTAGTTTTCTGCTAGCGTAGGGAACCCGGATTGGACTTCCTACTTCGGATCGAAGTCACTCACACGTGGTGAACAACACGCTCAACTCACAAAACGCGCAGAAAACACAGGTTCGCACGGAGGGACTCAACTGAGAAACGATCCGGTAACACCTACAACAGTCTATTGAAGAGTTTGAATTCTTAGGCACTTGTCATTTCCAGAAATACTACAGGGGTTACCCTGAAGGCACCTGCTGCAGCGTAACCTGAATTTACAACCAAGGCTTACACGAAGTAGCAAAACTTCACTTTGGCATTCAGGGGAAAAATCCCGAAGGAGTACAATCAGGAACAAACACTCGAAGGTGTAGGGGCGAAACTATTCAAGTATCTAACTAGTTATTGGCTCCGAGCATCGACAATCACCCGCAGGTGTAGATCCGAACTACTCAAGTCTCTAACCAATGTACTAGCTTTGAATTTTCGGCCGAAGGCCTTCAGCTACACAATGCGGATCGCTAAGGTGTAGCTCCTCTCTTGTGGTGACAGAACTAAGGACACAAACACGCAGAGAAAATGAGTTCCTGATCTGCACTTCCGAAACTGGAAAAATCCCAAGGCAAGACGCCTTGAACTACTTTATACCTTCTAAGTCCTAACTAGCATTACACTGCACTACGCTACACGCCTGCACGGAACCACGCTACACTACACTCCGTAGAACCTGTGCTTCGCCTCCTGCGCGGCGGACTGCCGCGCACTAACTCCCTACCCTGCCAGTCCTCAGCTCGACTGCGCAGTCCCAACCGCCGCAACACCACGGAGACCTCTGTCTCCAGGGTGGCCATGGTGTCCCGTGATAAATAAAGATATTAATAAAAAATTATATGAAAAATTTCAAATTTAATATAGAACAACTAACTTAAAAATACAATTTTATAAAATGATATAAGATGAGATAAATTAAAGTCATAATGATAACTCAGTCAACCAAGTAAAGATTTAAAGCACAGCTGAAATCACCAAGTTAATGATTAAAAAAAAAAACGATTTTAGTAATCAAATTAAAAAACCTTCTCCTGAATTATAGGCCGCGTGAGTACCTTGAATAAGACAAAGGTAATCGGTCTACTTCAAAGTTTTGGTAGAGTGGAGTGCATACACTATTTAGAACGAAAAGACATTATTGTAAAATCCTCGTCACTAGAGCTGCGAGCCTGAACACGGCTCGTATGTGTGGGTTTCGTTGGCATATAGAGAACAGAGCCCACTTTCTCTTCCATATCATCAACGCATTATCTCAAGTACTAGCGACTGCAGTCAAAATTTATGGTGTACTCATGAGCAATGTCATCGTGGACATTTTCTGACTAAATTTTAAATATTCGGTAGACTTGTCTTTGACGTATCGTGAATATTATGTGTATGCGACATCAAATTAAATATGTAATTAATAAATATACCTCACTATAGATATCGACAAAGATCTCATCACCACGATATCTGGCCGATGTATGTCATGGAACATGTAATGGGGGTGCAACATGTGATCGGCACGATTCCCAATCAGGCAGGTTACGCGTAGTGTTCGAGCTATAAGTAGGAGTGAGAATGTTAGTTTGGTCTGTTCTCCTTTGCAAGTGTTTTGTTTGTGTAACCTCAATACTGCTGAGGGTAGAAATTGAATACATGGAGAACTCAATAATTAATTTATTCCTTTGTTTTACATGATCAGCTACCAAAGGTCCTCTTTTATTGGCCTCACGATCAGAGACCATGATTTCAAAAAGAACAACTTTCAGATTTATATCATAAAAAGATTCCAAGCATTCGATATTGTGCGGCATTACTATCCGCATTACAAAGCTGCGCTTTGTAAGGCTGATGCTTGAAGAGCTACCATTGACTTATCGAAATCGCGTATTAACACACATGATAAAATAGTTACATCTTAACAAGGACATGGGTACTCCAAATGGACATTGCTTGGCTGAAAGGGACCTATAGGTAAACTGACGTTCTAACCCAACACCCATCTCTGTATCTCTATTTCATTGGGAGTATTAAGTTGCTTTCTGGCTAGACTCCTGCAGCGCACAAGTTTATTCAAGCCAATGAGTTATCAGCGCATAGCTTCCTCAATTGATCGTCATTCACTATACTATTCAGCTTATGGGTACTCACCCTCAACCGACAAAGGCCTGAAAACTCAATCTCTATCGTCTGGGTGATGCTCTGATTGGCCTGGAGACGATCTCCACTAAATGATCAATCTAGTAGTGGCAAGTTTAGTGGCTCATGGGAAGCGTAGAAGCGATCTGTGCCTCAGACCAGCCATGGACAAGTCCTTGGTAGTCACTGAGGTATCTTGTGCCTCTAGTTTTACCGTTCCAGAAGCAATATTAGAAGGAATCTGAAGATCTGAGGAAGTCACGGCAGAGTTCACATTGATTTGTAGACTATCGATCATTGGTTGGCCCCCCGATTGTGCTGGCCAGTGAAGAGTAGGACTCTAAACTTCAAGCCCATGTTGTTTTTCTGTTTACCTGCTAACCGTCGAGTGTATAGACTGAGAATAAGTAGCTCGAAGTATAGCTGCAGCTGATTCATTTCCTCGCTACGTATTTAAACAATGCGATTTTCGCTTTAGATCTTTTCCGTGGAGAACAGCCCAATTTACACGTCCATCTCTTTGTCTTTCATTTCAATCGGTGGCATCAGATCAATCGTATAAAACACAGAAGTACAAAATATAAGATAAAAAGATAAGATAAGGTAAATACAGAATCATGTCAGTTTCTACACTGCTGACTTCTTGCAAGTCACATCTGGATAAAGAGCGTGCTGTAGAAATCCAAGCTACTTCATGTTATTGTTGCAATCTGGACAAGCAGATGTGCTGACAATCACAGCCATGTCTGCGTACAAGCGCAGTCTAGCTAGTCTACGGTGTCCCATTCAACTTCTAAGCCTTACACAAACAAACCACTGAAATTAGACCATAAACTTTCTAGAGCAGACACTGCGGTTTCGTTGACTGCGAAAGACCTCGCCAGCAGAGCCGGATCCACAGCTGGCTGGGCTCCAAACAGAGTGAGAGGGAGAAATGAGATTCCCGGATTGTGAGAGTTGAGGAAGTTGATTGTCGAAGCATTCTTCGTTCCTTTGTTCATCTGGAAATGCACCAAGCCTCTGGGGATAACGAACGCCTCTCCGGCCTTCACCATCCCAGCGAACAGCTTGTTGGGAGCGCTAACGTCGTCACTGTTGGCCACGAATCCGATGTACAGCTCTCCCGCTGTGACGAACACAATCTCAGTGGCCAGGTTGTGAGTGTGTGGGGCAATGACACCACCTGGAATCAAATCAAGGCGCACCAACGCGACTCCGAGCGTGTTCAAAGCGGGCCAATGACGGGCGAAGGCGAGATTTGCCGATGCGCCCCAGGGATTTTCAGGTGAAATTATGCTGGCATCTTTCAAGCCCTTGAAGATGAAGTCTTCTGCCCTGACTGTTGCCGGATCCTTGCACGGGTAGCCATTCAAAAAATACCCCTGTCCAGATTTGTGACTAAGATCTGCAATACAGAAATCCTGGAGGGGATCTGGATCAGCTGCTTGGACAGCACCTACCATCAGTATGAACATCGTCAATAATATCAAATCGCAGCACGCAGGTCCCATGATCCGCACGAGCCCCATCACTAAGTCCGATGGTTTTCGATGATGTGAACTAGAAGACTGTCGCAACCTCCAAGCTTCTCAAAGATTCAGCACAAATTTCAAACTCCAGGCAAGGTCCGGATTGATAAACACAGAAACTTCACTGTGACACTCTGGGATTTCAGCTGACTGATAGTGGTGAAAGATTTTGGCAGTCCTAAGAGTATGCTAAAGTTGTGATTATGAGCTTCGAGCCCTTGGGACTTTATACACCAGTTTGGATGGAAGTGAAGGCAGCGGTGGTTAAGAATTCATCGGACTTGCAGTAGCTTGGACCAGATTCAACTCCTTAAATCAAGGGCTTTTTCATACTGGAACACCCACTTTCATTAAGCCTGCAGAAAGTCATGCAATTCCAGTTCCGCCTGCATGCACGGCTGGAAGAAGGTTAGAGACAATCCAAATCTATTGAAATCAGATGGTATATTCCATGAACCTCAAGCTGTCTACTGATCCTTGGTTTATATAGCCTTGGCTAGAGTTTGTGTGTAAATTTTCTAATCCTTCTTGAATTCTAGGCCATATGAAGAGCAAAATCGAATAAATGAAGGCACTTGGTTGCTATAGCTGACTCGTTAGTCCATGCATATGACCCATAGCTACAGAAAGAACACTATAACGAATCTAGATGGCCTCTGATGGACAGAGCCCACTTTTTCTTGGACATAAAGAATGCATGTCACATGTACTAACGACTGCACCGGAAATTTAGGCTGCAGTGCTGAGAAGGGGTAATTTGGAGATGTGGACAATAGATGCTTTGATTGCGTACATTTGCGTTTATCTTAACATAGTCTTTGAGTCATGATAAAAACCCTCATATCTTGGGCGAGCGTTTCAATGTGAACATGTCTTTGAATTTATTTCTCTCACACGAATGGTGTACTTTGTAAGTATTGTGACGTCATCTTTGCCAATGCATTATAAGTAGCAATCTTGAAGTATCGAATTTGTACGGAATTATTAACAACGAGTTGATCCTACTAGACTGTGATAATCTCCTGGTTCGCTGCAGAAGCACTTTGGTAATACAAAAAATACATTGAAACTCCTCGCATGATAATTGAATTAAGTCTAGTCTTAGCTGTGCAAAGATGTCAGCTTGATGGGAAAGATCGAACTAGACTTGAGGAGTGAAATACAGAGAATTGGGTGAAGTTTATGAATCTCAACTTCAAAGTTTATGGAGAAAGTTTAGATAGACAATGTTCACTTCTGCATACTTGTTTTGATTTTGACCAATGAAAATGAAAAATCTTACCGTAAAACGAAGAAATCCACTGGCTATAATAAGAACTTATCAAGGACACATTTAGACAGAGCTTAGCACCTACTTTTTAGTTATTATTATACCATTGGCAAACCATAATATGCAAATGTGCAAAACACATGATTAGTGTATAGCTTTGTTAATAGATGTATGCATGAGAATTTGGATGAGATCTTAACCAATTACGTCTAGGCTATCAAACAGCGTATGAGAAAAGAAAACAAAAGTGCTCTACATTATCATCCAATTTAGTAGAATTTTTTATCCCATTAGAAATGACTTATATCTCAAGAATGAAAAGTCGATCTACTGAAGAAAGGTTTTATGTAGTATAGACACAGAAAATTTGAATTCCGGAGGATGATTCAGGTGCTAGGTTGATCCAGCTACAATATCATTGAAACTCATTTTTTAACTCTGGTTACCAGAGTTAAAAATTGGATTTTCTTTCTTCACTATGCCAAATTACTTTTCATCTCTTCCGTCTTGTCGATGAGCTTATGCTCTCTTTGAAATTGAAGACCACATTTAGATCATGGATCGGAACCATGAGGTGGAAAATGTTTATTGATTGGTATGTTTATCTCTATTTAAAAAATATTTTAATGATTCCATTCATTGCTGTTCATTTATTCTATTTATTTCTTTATACTGTTTTTGTCCAGAATTCTAGATCAAACAAGCTGAAATTGCAGTTTTAACCTTTAATACACATTTTAACTGGTCTTAAAAGAACTCATCTAAAACTACAATCTAAGCATACTATAAAATCAGTTCTATTAAAAAAAAAAACTACAACTTTCAATCAAGCAAGTATAGATAATAAAATTATAACTAAAATCACCAAGTTCATGACTTGAACATAAGTAAAAATTTTAGCATTCAAATCAGAAAATCTTCTGAATTATAGGACGGGGACGCAGCTCTAGTGACGGGGATTTTACAATAATGGTTTTTTAATGTGTCACTAGAGCTGCGAGCCTGAACTCCCGCTTGTATGTGCGGGTTTCTCTACATGAAGTAACAAATTTAGTCCGGTGGTTGCTAGAGCTTTGGAGTATACGCCCATTATTTTTGACACAGTAGTGTTATACTTGTGCGCTAGTGTGTGTAAGAGAGAATATCTAAGCATCCAATTCAGCTGATATATGTGTCCATGCATACGACGCATAACTACAGAAAGAAACGTGTAATGGATCTAGTTGGCTGCTGGAGAACAGAGCCCTTTTTTTCTTCTAAATTATCAGCGCATTATCTCAAGTACATGCGATTGCAGTTGACATTTATGCTGTACTCGTGGGCAATGTCATCGTGGACATGTTCTGTCTAAAAAATAATATTAATTAGACTTGTATTTGACGTATCGTGAATGTTATGTTCATATGTCATCACATCTATAATCAGAAATATACCTTTCCAATGATTTCGACAAAGATCTCATCGCGACGATATCTTGGCCGATGTATGTCGTGTGCAACCTGTGAGAGGGCTGCAACATGTGATAGGCACGGATTCCCACGAATGCAGGTTACTGGAAGTGTTTGAGCTAAAAGTACGAGTAAGAATTTTAGTTCGGTCTGTTCTCCTTCGCAAGTGTATTGTTTTTGTAACCTCAATACTACTGAGGGTAGAAAATGGCAACATGGTTTTCCATGTAGCCATTTTCTAATTTTTTCTTTCTCAATATGATAATTTATTCTTTTTCTGTGTACAGCTACCAAACACATGATCAGATTTCTATCATAGAAAAACTCCAAGGATTAATTCAAGTGCCAGCGCAGCTTTGTAATGCGGATGCTTGAAGAACTATCACTTAACAATGAACAATGCAATTACCGCTTGAGGTCTTTTCCGTGGAGAACAACTCAATTTACACGTCCATCTCTGGATCTTTCAGTTAAATCGGCGGCATCAGATCACCCGTATAAAATATATAAGTGGAAATTATGAGTTGATAAGATAAGATAAGTACAAATCATATCAGATTCTATACTTCTGACTTGTTGCAAGTCACATCTGGATAAAGAGCACGGCGTAGAAATCCAAGCTACTTCATGTTATTGTTGCAATCTGGACAAAGAGGTGCTCTGACTATAATGTCCTAGTCAGCTTCTAAGACTTACAAAAACACATTGCTGAATTGCGACCAAAAACCCTCCAGAGCAGACACTGCGGTTTGATTGACTGCGAAAGATCTCGCCAGCATGGCTGGATCCACAGCTGGCTGGGCTGCAAACAGAGTGAGAGGGAGAAATGAGATTCCCGGATTGTGAGAGTTGAGGAAGTTGATTGTCGAAGCATTGATCGTTCCTTTGTTCATCTGGAAATGCACCAGGCCTCTGGGGATAACGAACGCCTCTTCAGCCTTCACCATCCCAGCGAACAGCTTGTTGGAAGCGCTAACGTCGTCACTGTTGGCCACGAATCCAATGTACAGCTCTCCGGCTGTGACGAAGAGAGCCTCAGTCACCAGGTTGTGCGTTTGTGGCGCAATGACACCGGACTGGAATCAAATCAAGGCGCACCAACGAGACTCCGAGCGTGTTCAGAGCAGGCCAATGACGGGCGAAGGCGAGATTCACCGATGCGCCCCAAGGATTTTCAGCTCTAATGATGGTGGCATCCTTCAGGCCCTTGAAGATGAAGTCTTCTTCCTTGGCTGTTGCCGGATCCTTGAACGGGTAACTATTCAAAAACGCCCCATGTCCAGGTTTGTGATTAAGATCTGCGATACAAAAATCCTGGAGGGGGTCTGGATCAGCTACTTGGACAGCACTTCCCACCAGTATGAATATTGTCAATAAAACCAATTGGCAGCACGCAATTGGCAGCACCATAATCCGCACAAGCCCCATCACTGAATCCGATGCTTTTCGATGATTTGAGCTCGAAGACTATCGCAGCTTCCAAGCTAATCAAAGATTCAGCACAAAATTCAAGCCGAATCCAAGCTTAGGGTAAAAAATTCAAAGAAACTGGACTTCACTCTGACACTCTGAGATTTTTTGTTCAATCATCTGTTTGGTATTGATGCAGTGTATTTGCAGTCTTGGACCTGTGAATATCAGCTGCAAGCCTTGGGAATTTGTCCATGTTTCTCAGTTTGGGTGGAAGCAGGGGCGGAGATAGGATTTTTCTGGTATGGGGAGCGGGTAAAAAGCACTCGTACTTATCAAACACCGTGATGTTGTCTACTCGTGGGTATGGAACACTTTTTGACAAATTGTGGGTTGTCAACTGGCCAATGTGACAATGGGTTGTCTATTCGTGGGTATGAGAGTTCTTTGTTCAATCTTTCGTTACATCTTTTGATAGTCAAATTTCTGTACAGCAGTCAAACAACTGAGCTCATGTGTTGCTTGCTAGAAGAATGTGTGAAACGAGGACGCATTCGTGCACGAGAGCCTTGATGGTGATAATTGAGCATCAAGTAGATGTTATCTGACAGGTGGAAAAGGACCAGGACCACCCTTTTTTTATACTCAGTTGGTTTTATTGAAAACACACACACACACTTTATTGATTTGTATCGGATGATATTCTGTCGTTGGAATTTTCGTCACATTATAGTCTATGAAGTTGACTGCATTACCGATGAAGCAACGCTTACGTCCATGTTAATGGGATCGCATAGAACCTTTTTTGGAAGGTGATGAGCATTATAGAAATTAACGACAGAAAATAAGTGAGAGAAGTGAGAAAACAAACCTCAATGATCAAAATTGAATTCATTTCAATGTTACGCCTCGTAACTGTAATTTTTAATGTCTCGTGATTGAATACATTCATGGCCATCTCGGCAAGTAATTATAATAATCTTACAAATAAGCTTAGGTAATTTTCCTAGCCCGGTAAGAGTCCCAAATCTGGTGGTGGAGAACCGTTAACAATTTAGAAAACTGACTTCCAATCGGGCATCAGTGCTAATGAAACGGCATACATTCGCTTGTTTCTCCTTTGTAATGCTGGGAACCAATAACTTTCTATTTTCTTCAGTTTTCAGATTCTTCGGATGAAACACACACAAACTGGCTATTCTTAGGGTTCTAATTTTGCTTCTCCCGATCCCTCTTTTGATATAAACTCAGTGAGCACTCAGTCGTATCACACTTCAAGGTCATACACAAAACTATTTTGGCGAGCAACATTTTTTGGGATACTGAAACTTCGGTAAATATCAACTACAGTCAATTACCCTAAAATGAAAATAAACAAAATCTTCTATAACTCCAGTATTCTGTAAGAGTATCTTAAGGTTGCCCGTCTTATCTTGAAAAAATAATCCTCTTCAAACATTAGAATGAAAGTTTATCTTTTGATATTCTTCAAATGAGCAATAGTTTGCAGTAGAACTTCCGTATGATGTACAACCTATATAAAGAACACCGCAAATGGTATAGAAATGTAAAAATAGCGCAAACCCTTTTATATGAGTATACAAAACTTCTCTACTAGAAGTTCACCTCCATAAGTACTGAAAGTACACCAAGAGGCCACGGAATGGTCACGCGGTTATATATAAGGTATAATCTTTTTCTCCTTGCTGGAATTTGAGAAGAAAAAGCGTAAAGTGGATGATCTGAATATACAGCTGGCTATCGTCAAACACTTCGAAGAGGAACAGAGCATCTGATGAGTTCAGCGTTTCAAGAAGAACTGTTGAAACTGATGTGGAGACCAGAGACTTGATACTGAAGGAAGCACAAAGCAATAGCTCTTTGTCCAAAAGAAGAATTGTCAAACAAGAGTAAGTTATAAAACCACGCTAGCATTGATCTATGGAATACTTCAATGAGGCAATGAATCAGCCTACAAAAATACGTTCGCAAGAAAAATGATTTCCTGATTTTGGTTTGAGGGTCAGGATCGAGGTTTCTTCACTTAAACTGAATCTATAAGGTTATCGCAAGATCGTGGTCTCTAGGGTGTATGCAGATCCTGGGGAATTTCCCATTACATAACTCGGTACACCTTGACAGGAATTCGAAATTGTAAAGGAAGATGTCACATGTTCTGAAACCTTAAGATGATCACTGTCAGATCCAGAAGTGATTGAGATAGAGCAATTGAAGCCTTCGCAAGAGAAAATTCATGTCATGCATGTGTGTCATTCCAGTCTGGATCCACTCTCAACAAACAATAGTCCCTGCATTCACGAACACATGTAGGACAATCACAAAGTAGTGACCAGATGGTTCGGATATGTTTCAGCTTTCCAAGCTTCTTTATTTTCGAACAATATCCAGCCTTTGCAGGAGTGTCAATGTACATTCCCTTCATAGCCGGTTGAGACAATTGGCTCAATTTCTTCCCATTTCTAACTAGTGCAGAGATTCATTCCAATCTTGTGTTTCCTGGTTCTCGTGCATAGCGAGCATTGTATGCAAGTGGAAAATCCTCGTGGATCTAACTGGAGCTTATTCTGAACTTAAGCAAATGAATGATTTCATCCTACCTATGCCATAAATCTGGTAAGAACCGTGAGATATTTAGTCATCCTACCTGCTGTTGCAACACTAACTTGTTGATAATTGGAAACTTTGGAACGAACTTCTAATTCACGAACTGGCACGTCTTGCGGATTTCACCTTCAGTTCCAGTGAGCACCCCGAGGTTTCCCATCTTCACCATGCCTGCTGCAAATTCTGCGAAGAAGCTGGAGCCAGGCTTCGAGAACGAGCGAACAACTTTCTTGCCCTCAGGTTTTGTAATGAGGGTGGAGTCTGTCATGAAAATTCCCTTGCCATGCAGAACATTTTTGTAATATGCACGGTCGAAGGTACTTGCTGTGGAGTCGATGAAGATTGTGTTCGTCCTGTTACCCTGAGGACAAAGCTTTTTGAGAAAGACAGCGAAGTTCTTATTCATGGCAGGGTCCGTGTCGCTGGCATCATCCTTTCCAGTGAAGTTGTAGAGATGTGGAAGGATCCCATTACAATGGGACTGACCGATAGTGTGTGCACCTGCACATCAAGAACACTCCAAACCGATGAAACAAATGCTCATGCTGGCTATTCTCTGGGGTGAAATTTTTTTCCAATCTCTCCACTGAAACAAAAGAAGTTACGGCAACAGCTATTTCTGTAAAGTTAAAGATGCATACGAAATATGTATATGAAACTCCTTAGAACTCAAGAACACGCATTCATAAGTTTGGAAGGAGAAGTGAATTTTCAACCTTTCCTCTCCAGAAAGAATCTCATAAGGCTCATGCGGAGAATTGTCAGACCTGAGAGAGTTATCATTTCTCTTGCATTGAATCCCTTGGCGGCAAAGTTAGCAACGAGTCCGGTGAAGTTCAATACAGGGAAGGGTAGATTGCTATCAGCCATCAAGGCTGTGGAGTTCACTCCATCTCTGCGTCCCATAGCTACGGGCCAAGTGGGGCCTCCAACCTATAGATATCAACAAGAGTCAAACATGGTTACATCGTAGTGAGATGGCCAGACTCTCTCGTAGAATTTTTAAAAAGGCTGGATTCTATCATATGTGAAGGGGAAAGTGATAGAATGAATTACCTTGGCTGTGGCGTCACGAGCAGCCATGATGAGAATATCTGCACAGGAGACGACACCAGGGCAGAAGTATTCTAGACCTGCCTTGATCTCATCGATCTCCGCAACTCCTCTGAGACCGAAGTTAACATGAGCTTCCCTCTCCGCTTGGATGCTCCCAGTCGAGTTCAACAGAACAGAACCATCACAGCCCTGGAGGTCCAGTCAGAGCAGTAAGTGTGGTTATGAACCAATTGCTTGAGAACACAATCTAATAACGAAAGCTTTAGTATTGGTCTCTCAGCTCAGGAAAATCATTTTGGCATAGGAGAAACTAAAACTCCTGACAGTAATGACATCCAAATCCTGGACTTCATTAGATTGTAATAAATTAGAGGTACGCAAAACTAAAGTATTTGGAGCACTTACCCCAACCCAGCAATCGTGGAACTGCAACCGGTTGAAGGCACCCGCAAAGGTTCTATCTTTCCTGAGGAACTTTGTCACATAGGCGTCCACAATCGCAGCTGCTTGAGGACAAGTTTTCTCATAGAAATCCTCTGACAGGCCGACGGCATAGGGACTCTTTGCCTCACATGCGCACAGTGTTGCAAAAACTACGACGGTCAAGAGAACCGCATTGCGGTAGTCGATGCTTGCAGATGCCATCATTCCCTGCTTGAAAATCAGATGCAGCCATATCAACGGAGAAGACAGATATAATTTCATAGGGGTGTAAAACTATTGAAGAGAACCATCTCATATCTTCCGTTACATGACAAAAGATAAGAACAGTCTGTCTGATAATTGATTTGCAATGATGTCTCCAATGTGTGCACATATTACTCGGCAAGACCATGAGTGAACTCGAAAAAAGTGTTGCATACAGATCGGTACCTGCAGCGGCTGATGGCAATCGTTGCAAGAAATCACAATTGGGCTGGAAGAGTCAGCCGGTGATGATAAGCTTCTACAAACTGCATGAATTTATAGTACTCTTGCAATCCAGTAGTTGTTTGTGAAAGCTACCCATGATCTAGATCATGAATAGGATCCCTATCATTCAGGAGCGAGAACTGGTCTTAGTAGTGTCAGCAGACAAAGGTTGGCATCATAAGTCAACTTGGAGTGAGATCATCACATGAATATGATGTCCAATGGGACAATGACTAGATCTATACATACCTGGAAACTTATGTTTTACATGCACAGCCTGCAGGGTATAAAGCCGATAATGTGTCCATACCTGAAAAAAGCTCCCATGCATATTTGCCTTAAAAGCCAATATTCATTCGCATCCTCGGTCGATTCTTCTCTTGTACCTGGTGCTTAACATCCTATCCTTTCCACAAGCAGCTTTC